TTTTTAAACACTGAATTTAGCAACTGCAGCTAAACTGCCGATGTATCACTAATTTTATTTTAGAAAACACAGTCTACGGTTGCAACGGTCTATGTGACTAATAATGGAAGGTATATGCCTATTTTGCGTTGAAGTTGGAAAATTTTAAAGAACCATGTCGTAGTGTGGTCATTTTGAAATATCTAACTCGCAACACTAATGGTGCGTTGCGTGTAGCGTGTACCTAGTAGCCTAATGGATAAAGCTCCTCAAAATGAAACCTCCACGAATGAGGATGGGTAGGTTTTCTTCTTTTTCTTTTTTGTATTTGAATCGCTCACTGTCTTTTTGCGAATTAATTGAATTGTAGACCCAGCAAGACATCCGTTGATGAGACAAATACGGTCAATTTTTCTGATGTAAATCACTTTTTCCGCTCTTGTACGTGGCCTCTACGCGTTCCTGGTCGCACTTGTAAAGGGAATCGTCTCTTTAGGCTTTTAAATCTTCAATGTCAAGAAGGTGCTTTGTTTTCCGACAGTGATCACCATCGGTCTCCCGGTTCTTCGCGGTCGATCCTCTCACGAGCAACACAATTGGCTCTCCGTCATCTCGACTTAGGCTCTTTCGCACCTGATCAATTATCGAAAGTGTTGAATAAGCGAATGCCAGCGGCAGCTTCTGGAAGGTCGACTACGGCTATGTCCGAAAATTCTCGGTTGGCCAGCCCTCCGCCCTCAGAACTTTCTAGCATCTCATCAGATGAGGTACAATCTTTTTCCAGACATCTTGCACTTATAAATAAATGTCCTGCCTACGAGCATTCATGTAATTTAAAGCGTTCTACTGCGGTCCCGAGGAATGGAATTCTTTCCACCAGATCTTCGCATCGTGGTGGGCATCGAGCGGCTTCCTTCACCTTCCTTGCCGAGGATGCCCCATCAAGGAAATTGGAGGATCAGGAAATTTCTACAGAAAGTGGATACGTTGTCTCTTCCGCTACTCCCGGTGCCAGCAGCTCTGGTTCTTCTTCTTTTAAACGGAAACCTAACACCACTCGTTACCATCAGGTGCGAATAATTGATAATCGACTAAAGAAACCTGCTGATGAAGCAGCTCTTCATCATGCGCGTCACCATATCTCTCCTTTGGATCGGTTTTCGCAATCTTACGCGTCGAATGACGAGGAGGATGGCGACGAAGAGTCAGGTCAGGAGGAACAGTTAGCATCCTCTGTCTCGGCATCCACTACCAAAGATACCATGGCTTTAACAGCTCCCACTTCATCTATTTTGGTAATCAACCCTACTGCGGGTGGTAATAATGGCACACAAAAACATGTCATACTTCTCACCGGCTCATCGGATCCCTCTCCATCTATACCCAGCTCTGAAGGAAATGAGCTGCGTGATGTAGAACCACCTTCGATCCCTCCCACACTTGTCTCACTTAACACAGGTGGGGTCCATTTGCCTTCAGACAAGCGCCGTCACTCTAGCTTTGTTCCTGCCTCAATCAATGCCATGGTGCCGGGTAAACGCGGTGGCGGTGGGACAGGGGCCCTGAAGCGATGCAACACCGCCTCCTCAGTGTATAGTTGCAATGCTGGTGGAGAACAAACGCCACCAACACCAGCCAAGTCAACAATAAAAGCTGCCTCGGTCAGACGCCATCAGGAATGTGAGCAACGGAGGCAGAGAGCGTCTCTTCCCTTCTCATCTCGGCCTCGACATCCCAATAGCTCGCCCGGTCTCTCTAGGCATGTTATCTCTTCTGATGAGGTAGAAACCGACAACGGTGGCGGTGGTATTGGTGGGAATTCGAGTCGATTTTCCACTCCGATGGAGCCGATCTGCGTGGTCAACCTAGCCACGCCTGTGAGGTAGGTTTATACCCAAACTAAGTTATTAATTTAGTCACATTCAACTTGCTGTCGAGAATTTAGACGCGTTCTTGGTCACTCATGGACCTGAACAGGAATTTACCTTGTTTTACAGCCAATTTTGCCCATCAGTTTGGGCCTATTTTCTTGCAGCAGCAATCAGCGATGCGCACTACCTTTTCCTTGTTGGTTGATTGTTTTGGTCCTTTGTTTAATGGCTTGTTGTTGTTCGTTTTGACGTAAACATAGGTTCACAGTCGGATTTTAAGTTCCCTCTTGCATTGGATTAGTCTTAATAAGTTTGTTCGTTTCTTCAGTATAATTATGCTTTTGTGGTGTTGCCCATACTGTCTGTACTTGGGCCTTCTTGTCTTTTACAAAGTCCCAAAGGTTATGTGGCATTATTCCTCTGCGTTGTGGAATTATGGAGACATACAGATCTCACCTAACATGCGTATTTCTAATTTCAACTCCCTCATCAAATATCAATGTTATCTGAAAGTTGAGCTTGACTGGATTTTAAAGACGATTTTGGCGATTTAAACTATCTGTTTTTGTTGAAACGAAAACACTCCTTCGCTCCGTCATGTTAATTACTACCGAAAGCGATTCTTCAAGGTTTTAGATTTGCTGGAATCATATATCCTCATTTTGGTTGCTACGTCTTGCAGTGCTGCGCTGATGTGCGCTTCTTGCCTTGGTATTAGTATTACAATGGAACTTGGGTTTACTTTGTTATTATTATTTTAGATTATTTCACCGACTTCAGAATTATTACCAATGTGCTTGAACACATCAGAGTTTTGAATTTATTTCTGTATTCGTTTGACACTTGACTGGATGCGCTAAGCCCTGTCTTTTGGTTCCATGGTGTGCAGTCGTAACTTATGCATCGGTTTGTGGAGAAAAAAGTGGTATTGACAAGTGCTGTTGCCCTGGTATTGGGCCAATTCGCAGATTCTATATGGAACCGTGAAAAGAGTAATTGAATGAAGGACAACAGGAATTTTAACCTCATCTTACGCGATTTTGCGTGTTGTTATCTGATTAATGCGACACTGACATGGGCGAAGCGAAAATGCGGGAAATTTCGATGCACTGCCTAAGTTGCAGAAGAGCCTGGCTTTCCTTGCTTTTGGGCCACGAAGGCGAAACGTACTAGCTAATCATAGTTTTGTATTACCTAGAACGTGCATTCTCCTTAACAGTTGTTTTAAAAGCCTTGGACACATTTGCTGACAGATCTTTGGACCGGGAAGTAAATAATTTGTTCAGTTGTTTAGCCAGCATTACCCACCTCTAGGTTCATAGAATCTGGTTT